AAAAATAAAGTCTTTAAAGAGAAAGTAAAAGTAGTATAAAAAATAAGCCACATAAAGATGGAAATCACACAGAGAGTTTGGATTATATTGTTTCCTCCTCATGGGCTTACACCCTGAAGTCAATTGCCATTTGCTGCTTCTCAGACATGGCCACCAGCATATATATGAGATTTATTAGAGTGACTTACAGATTGTGGTGCAGCAAATCCAACAGTGGCTGACTATGAAAAGAAAGTCCAAGCATCCAGTAGTTGCTCAACCTATGAGGTTGAATTTCTCAGCTCATCTTTAGTAGACACTGGAATCCCAAAGACATAATCTCTAATATCAGTAAAAGAATAGACTTATTAGTGAGGTGAGAGCAAGTAGGCAAACAGCAAAAGCTTTTTTTCCACCCATGTCCTTACAAACTTTCAGCAGAAAGTATGACCCAGGTTAGAGATTGGTTTTACCAATTTGAAAGAGGTGGATTAAAGGTGTATCCTCCTATCTCATATATCATGATTAGAATTAGATCTTCCTACTACAAATTAATCAAAAATTCCTCATAGTTATGCTTTTCATGTTTGCTAATAGTCAAGTTGACAACCAAGAATAGCCATCACAAGCCTTATATTTGTGCTTTCTTGGGCATCACTAATGCATTTATTCTTCTTAGGTCCTCTTTTCTTAATCTCACTGAGCCATTCATTTGTATCTTCTTTAAAGTCCTTGAATTCTCTGAAGAAGTTTATGATTCCCATGATTTTTTCAGGGTTCACCTAGGCAATTGTCATTGGCAAGTATACACTGCTGGTACATTTTAGAGAGGAAATACTGGCTTGGCCTTTCACACTAGTAGTATTTTGGCAACGAGTCCTGTGTATGTAGACGATTTTTATCACTTCTGAGTTTGTTATGGGAAGAGCAAATTGAGACAGAAAGGAGGGATATCAGTAGGTGTAGTTTGTTGTTATTTTACTCTTTACCCATTGGGTGCCCATCACCCAGCTCCCAAATAAATCACATGGAGGCACATTCTTTCTTATTAATGCTTGGCTTGTTTTTTGCCAACTTTTCTTACCTTAAATTTCCCCATCTACATTTTGCCCCCAGGCTTTTACCTTTCTCTATTTCTGTATATATTTTCTTTCCTTCTTATTCCATGTGTGGCTATATGGCTAGGTGGATGACCCCTTATTTTTTTCACTCCTTTTTTTTATTTTCTCTGCCTGCCAGCTCCACCTGTCCTTTCTCCTACCTTGCTTGCTATTGGGCATTCAACTCTTTATTAGACCAATCAAGTACTTTAGACAGGCAAAGTAACACAGCTCCACAGAGTTAAACAAATTCTGAATAAAAGAATGCAACACATCTTTGCATCATTAAATATTCCCCAGCATAAACAAATGTAACACATCTTTAACTAATATTCTATAACAGGTAGGTAGAGCAGAGTGGTTGGGAATTTCTTGCATAGAATGAAATTCAGTGGACTAAGGGGACTGGTTAGCTATGCAAGCTGTTCTTCCTGTTTCAATCCTGGAGTGTGAGGGTAGATTTGACTGAGGGGAAAAGTTGTATGTGGCATGGGAGAATCCAGTGGGTTGGCAAATATGTTGGGAAAAACTTCACCAAAGTAAAGAGCTCTTTGCAGTGGAGTCATGGGAGGCAAGAGTGGGCTGATGCATTTTTTTTTTTTTTTGTGGGACTCAGGCTACCTTTGACAGATTCAAGATATACAAATGGAGAAGTCAGGGAAACTCACCAGGCTACACACTGGAGGAAAACATGAGAAGTCTGGGTACTGAGTGGGGTGGAAGAGGCAATATAGAGGAGATATTTGGATAACTGAAGGTAGTACAGGCCCTGGCAGAAGCTTTGATGCTGGCCATTGTGCAGGTGGGGGTGGATAGACTAGGTCAGATAACTGGTTGTATGACCTGAGATAGATTCCCAGGTTGCACAAAAGATGTGGATGAGAAGACAGGGGTTATTCACCAGGATATCCCCCTGCAGAAGGACATGGGTAGTCTGGGTATTAAATGTGGTGGTAGGGGCATAGCAGAAGAACTAATTCACATCTTCTTAAACAAAAATCTATATGTCTCAGTCACCTTACAGCAACAAAATATGTCTCCCTTTCTTTTTGCATCTATAATTGTTGTTATTAATACACAATTATGAAGAGATAGTATTATAGTTCCTTATATGTTTATTTCCTGGCCTCCAAAGGTCTAGAATTCAGATCCTATTCCTGATATCACTTGCTATAGTGGTCAAAATTCAGAAAGATTTATTTGTGGAAAACAGTATGAACCCAAATCTTATTATGAACAAAAATGATGGTAATATGCTTCAATGATATAAAAATGTATCTTTTATTCAAATTGAATTTTAGATACTTGTTCATAAAGGCCAAAATGACTCTCTAAATCTTTAAAAGTGGAGGCTATTAGGCAATACTGAAGAACATGGGCTGCATGTTACTGACTATCAGAAAAGAATCTTTAAAGCAAAGCAGTGGAATAAAACTGCCATGTGACAGCGTATTAAGATCAGACAGGCATCATGAAGTAACTTGTTCCAAAGAAGCAAGGAATACAGGATCCATGCCAAGGTAAAGTAGAAAGCAAGAACATGATCATATAGTATTCAAATATTCAGAGTGCTGGTCAGGGCATACATTATCAACTGGATCACATTTCTTCACAAATACTTGAAAGTAATGCCATTACTATTGCTCTGATAAAACCTTCTCAAAAATCTGAGAATGATGTAGCCATAGCTGATGTGGTTTATTATTTTGATAAGATGTTAAGGGTGGCTTCTTCCAATCCTAATATTATAGATCTAAGAGAAAATTGTATCTGAGTCACTATCAAATTTTAATTTACTCTGTTGTTGAAAAAAAATCTGAAACTTCAGTGCAGTCTACACACTAGTATATTTGTGTCATTGTCATATGAAAATATTGGTGAAATCATTGAGTTCATTATGCCATAAGGAAGAAAATGGCAAAGTGTAAGGAAACAGATATAAAGAAAATGGGTGAGATGCAACATGATTGTTTTTCGAAGAATACTTGCTATAGAAGAAATTACTTAGAATACTCAGATGGCAAGAATACACAGAGCAAGAAGATCTTTGAGGGTAAATATCTTTTTCATTAACATCATATAATTAAAAGTGTAAAATAATGGTATTGTAAAATAAAATAAAAGAAAATAAAGTGTAAAATATATGTTCTATATAAAAGATATTTGAAATTGGGATCACTGATCTCAGGATCAAAACCTTATATATGTATAACTTATACAAAACTTAAAATTTTAATTATATATTTAATATTATGTTATGTTTATACTGATACAATGGAATTTGAATGACCAGTTGAGATTAAAAGTAGACTTCTTACTTATATTGATTCTTGTACATAAAGTCTTGTGTAAAACAGAAAATAAATTATTTTAAAACTGAAGAAAAAGAATTAGAGAAGTAATTTTAATTTATCCTTTACTTATTTCTTTTTGGATTCTCACTCTGTCTCTCCCTCTGTATCCTTCCCTGTCTGTCTGTCTGTCTGTCTGTCTGTCTGTCTCTGTTTCTGTCTGTCTCCCTCTTCTCTGTGTGTGTGTGTGTGTGTGTGTGTGTGTGTGTGTGTGTGTGTGCTTGTATTTTGTGGCTATACCTTTTTAATATGAACTATGTTTTATCTTTCAAATTATTAATTTATTCCTTTCTCTTCAGGATCCTCTAGAAACAAATTCTTTCAGTTCTCATTCTTAGATAAAATCCTAATTTGTCAACTTTCAAGCATAAACTCATAAGAGAAAAAAATTAGACTGAAAGACTATTTTCTATCAAATTAAAAAGAAACTCACTTCATTTTCTTTACTTCTTGCATTATTGAGAAGCAAGTATATGTTCTTGCATTTTTCCTTTATTGTTAATATGTCATTTTTCTTTTGGTGTTTTTAAACTACTTCATTTGTTTTGATTATGTGTCTATTTATTCTTTTTGTGAAAAAAACCTAATGAAATATTTTGGACCATATTCAGCTTGCTGTCCACTGAGCTTCCTAGATCTGTTACTTAATGCTTTTATTTCTTTGGATAAAAATATCACTCATTAACATATTTACTTTCTTTGTATTGCTAGTGTATATATATATATATATATATATATGTATGTATATATATATCTGAAGTATTCAGTTATGTTTTTTCCTTTGCTTTTCAGTTTTGTAATGTTGAACTGTCACATATTCAAGCTCAGAATTTCTAAGTCATGCCAAATATATTAATTTACTCATCAAAACTTGCTCTTCATTTCTGTTGTACTTTTCTTGGATTTAAAAATTGTTTATTGTGTCTTTGAATCTAAACTTCTTTCTGTATTAATCTATTCTTATATTATTTTTTGCATTAAGTTTCTTATCATATTAGTCCTATTTTATTTGTTTTTCTTTGATTCTAAAAGAATTCTAACATTCTTAACATTTGACTCTGTTTCTGATGTTTATGCAGTTTCTTCAACGTATGTATACATTAAAATTCTCTTATGTAGTTAAATGGGTTGTACATAAGATATATATATATATATATATATATATATATATATATATATATATGGATAAGTGTTTAGTAATGGAATGGACAGGTAGCATGAAGAGAAAATCTTTTTTATGTCTATAATTTGGTCTCAGTCTTTTGTTGGCTCTGCCTTTAGACTTTGCCTTTAATACTGCTTTAAGAAATAGTTGATGTTGGCTGGAGTGGTGTACCTTACTTCCTCAAGGTGGTAATTCCCCAGAATAATCTCAGCAAGTTTGGCTTTAGTAAACACACTTTCTAGAATGTAGACTTTATTAAAATCAGCTGAATATTTTTACATGTTGTAGTAATTCTCATTTTCCTTTTTTCATGGAAGAAGGAAGAAGGTTTTGTTCATATATATATATATATATATATATATATATATATTGCAGCTGTTTGAGAATTTCCCTGGAAAGATATGAGGAAACTTATACTTGCCTCAGATAAACCAGAGTAATGATTCTGTCAGACTACCACCTGTTGTGGGATGGTCTGTATGTCAAATTACTCTGATTGGTCAATAAATAAAACACTGATTGGCCAGTGTCTAGGCAGGAAGTATAGGCTGGACTAACAGAGAGGAGAAAAGAAAGAACAGGAAGGCAGAGGGAGACACTGCCAGCCGTCGCCCTGACAAGCAACATGTGAAGATTCTGGTACGCCACGAGCCATGTGGCAAGGTATAGATTTATAGAAATGGGTTAATTTAAGATATAAGAACAGCTAACAAGAAACCTGCCATGGCCATACAGTTTGTATGCAATATAAGTCTCTGTGTTTACTTGGTTGGGTCTGAGCGCCTGGGGGACTGGCAGGTGGCAAAGATTTGTCCTGACTGTGGGCAAGGCAAGAAAACTTCAACTCCAACCACCATGTAGGGCAAGATGTTTATTGGGAGTGTTGACTGGAGTGTGTGTGAGAGGTTACTTACAGAAGAATAGATGATTAAAAGTCAATTTCACCTCCACAAAGCCTACAACAGTGATAATTCACAAAATCTGAAACCCGTTGGCTTTTTACACAACATCAAGGAAGCTCCACAAGTCATTAAGTTGCTTCTCATTCTTCTTAGTTTGATTAGCTGGAGAGTGTTCCTCAGCAGTCATTAACTGCTTCCATAACCTTAGAGAGTGACTCTGTGTGTGCCTTGTTAGTTTCAGGAATTTTTTGAGACTTGCTAGTTGTTTACTTCTTAAGCCTCTCAATTTCCTCTGTCCCTATATGTCTATGAGACCTTTAGTTTAGAACTTTCTAAGATTTAAGTAGTCTCCTTACCTGAGGGAATGTTTCAACTTGGAGGAAATTGCTACACAACATTCTGCCCCTTTCCCTGCCTCTTAATTTATCTCACCACCTTTTCTGTAATATTCCTGAGACTTTGAAAGGGTAATATGCATTGATGGCCAAGTATTGGATAACAATGCCACAGCAACAGTTCTTAAGATATTCATCCTTGGTTTGAATCCCCATGGCATAACTCTTTACCAAGGAAAATTTCTTCTTGATTGATTGAATCTGACAGAAACCAATTTATGCATGCAAACACAAATTTAGAGACGGCAATTTGACACATCACATCCATTTAATAAAACAATAGTAGTGCTTTACCCTATTGGAACCTATGACTTCCCATCTATAATTTTGCTTGTCCTGGCTTAAAGTATAAGACGTGAATACCCTTAAATCCAGTTGGAAACTTTGTGATCCACAATAGTCATGCCATGGTTGTATGCTGTGGATATCATTCTGTATAAATAAAACACTGATTGGTCAGTGGCCAGGCAGGAAGTATAGGCGGGACAAGGAGAGAGAATTCTGGGAAGTAAAAGGCTGGGTGGTAGAGACACTCCAGCCGCTGCCATGACAAGCAGCATGTGAAGATGCCAGTAAGCAACAAGCCATGTGGCAAGGTATATATTTATAGAAATGAATTAATTTAAGATATAAGAACAGTTAGCAAGAAGCCTGCCAGGACCATACAGTTTGTAAACAATATAAGTCTCTATGTTTACTCGGTTGGGTCTGAGCGGCTGTGGGACTGGTGGGTGACAGAGATTTGTCCTGACTGTGGGCCAGGCAGGAAAACTCTAGCTGCAGTTGCACCATCAAATACAACCTTTCTGGTATTCTGGTACTGTAGCATGCAGTGTCTATTGCGAAGCAGGAACATTGGTGAGCGTTCCTCCTGTCTCCTCAATGGCCTGCATAACACTTCTGGTGCTGTGTCAGGAAGCCAACAAAGACAAAGATTACACTTCATCCTAAGCTTTATTTCTCTATGTCCTACAAGCAAAGCATGAGGTATCTTTACCCCATGGTTTGAATATGCAATCAAAACAAATGGCAACAACCTTTCTAGCTTGTGGAGCTTAAGGGATACCACTTAAAAACAACTTGTAAGAAGGCAGCCTGACACTGGCACTGAAGTTTTTACTTCACAGTCTTATGGACCAAAGTATTACCTCATTCCACCTGTGCAGAGTGCCTTCTGTACTCAAACTTTTTGACTACTACTTTAACAACACATTGCTTTTCTTTCAATAAACCCAACCTTAGTATGTTTACAAAACAGGTGGGAGAATTATTGTATCTGGTTATTTTTAAGACAATTTTTTTCATTTTGTGTTTGTGAAATAACTTTCTTGTCACTTTAAATTCTCTGTAGGAGCTCAATGTTGTGCAGCACTCTCCTCAGAGATTGAAATATCCCATCCTACACAGAAGATCCTTAAGACAGAGCGCTTAAGAAAAAACACTAACAAGAGCATCAGAAAGGCCCTGAAACTTACCAGATTCACTAGACCCTTCCCTTCTAAAAGCAAACAATGAAAGATTGCCAAGTGTTACTTTCAGACAAGCTAAAGTGCAAAAAAGACTCTCAGACATGCCAAATAGCAAATAATACTTCCCAAGAGCAGACCACCTGCCTTAAATAAGCAGAATCCAGCTAAGCAACCTGAAAGAAGTTTAGACCAACTGAGTCATTTTGAAAGGATGCTTCAACCTGTGAAGCTTCCTTCA